CAAATCTTTAATACTAACTTATCTTCCAGATCTCTATTCCCAAATTTACTAGAAACAGGCTGCTTCTCCTATACATTGAAGCTCACTTAATGGTGTCACTGGACACGTGGTACCTCAAGCCAGAAACTTTGAAGTTAGAGAATTATCTTTTTTTTTTTTCCTTTGAGATACAGTCTCGCTGTGTTGCCCAGGCTGAAGTACAGTGGCACTATCATAACTCGCTGTAGCCTCAAAGTCCTGGACGCAAGCAATCTTGCCTCCTTAGCCTCCTGGGTAGCCAGGACTACAGGTGCGAGTGACTGTGGCCGCCTAATTTTGTCATTGTTGAGCCAGGGTTTCACTATGTTAGCCAGGTTGGTCTCGAACTCCTGGGCTCAAGCGATCTTCCTACTTCCTTAACTCTTCCCTGACTCTCACATGTCATCCATCACCAAGATAGGATGACCATTCTACTCCTAAATGATTCTCAAATCTGTCCCTTCCTCTTTATTCTCAATGTCTCCCTTTAGCTTAGACTCTGAATTTCTCTTCTGGATGAGGACAGCAGCCATCTTTTTCCTTCTGTCCCTAGACACAGTGAGTGATGATAGTGCAATCTGCTGTGTTGCAAATATTACAGTAAGTCTCAGTAGCCCAACTAACGTGATGTGGGTGGAGAGGCAGCGACAATCATAAGACTGGACCAAAAATAACATAGCCAGAGGCTATTTTGTGAAAAATCACATAAGTTTCATGGATAAAAAGGTGACTTACTACCAAGTTACTCGTATATATGGTTAAAAGAAAGTTTAAAATGCAAAGGAAATGACGATGATGACGCTTTTGCAAGATCTTTGGCACTATCCTTTGATTTGTACCTGCAGATACTGCAATACATCCTAGTATGAAGTGATTGTGCCCTAGCTTGATCTGAAGTACGAAGATTGACCAGGAAATAAATATTTCATATATTTATTATTTCATGGCACTTCCTAGCCTCCCTCACCCCACTTTTTTTGAGACAGGGTCTTGCTTTGTAGCAGAGGTGCAAACACGGCTCACTGCAGCCTCAACCTCCCAGGTTCAAGTGATCCTCCTGCCTCAGCCTCCCAAGTAGCTGGGATTACAGGTGTGCACCACCACACCCAGCTAACTTTTGTGTTTTTTGTAGATGGTTTTTTGCCATGTTGCCCAGGCTGGTGTGGAACTCCTGGGCTCTATCAAGCCTCGGCCTCCCAAAGTGCTGAGATTACTAGATTATGGGTGTGAGGCACCACACCTGGCCCCGTTGCCCCTGATTTTTAAGAAATGAGTTTGCATTTCAAATTATTTTTCATGCACAACTTTGTGTCACAAAATATTTAAGTTGTTTTTCTCCAGTTTTAAGTAATCCCAAACATTTTCAGTTGATTCAAAGGGTCTTGGAATATTTAGCAGGTTTGCATACATAATTGTATTAAATGAAATTTCATGCTATTTATGTTGTGTATTACATAACTCTGTCTCCTGTACTTGCATTTCCTCAAACATTCTGTTTTTCCTTGTCTTCATACATGTTGTCCCTCTGCCTACAAGGTCCTGCTTCTTGTCCGTCTCCAAATTCACGTTTGAGGTTCAGTTCACATGCATCTCCTGCAAGTCACCGTCTCTGTTGCTTTCTATTCTGCACAGCCACAGAACTGCACTTCGTTACTGAGTTTTTCTATGTTTATCTTCCCCACCAACCTTGGGAGCACAAGTATTTTAGTGTTCTCTGTAAACTTAAGATCTAGCATAATTTCTAGAACATAAAAAGCACTTAAGGGGCCAGGTGCAGTGGGATGCTTGTAATCCCAGTGTTTTGGTAGGATGAAGCAGGAGGATTGCTTGAGGCTAGGAGCTCGAGACCAGCCTTGGAACATAGTGAGACTCTATCTGTACAAGTTTTTTTTTTTTTTTTTGAGACGGAGTCTCGCTCTGTCGCCCAGGCTGGAGTGCAGTGGCCGGATCTCAGCTCACTGCAAGCTCCGCCTCCCGGGTTTACGCCATTCTCCTGCCTCAGCCTCCCGAGTAGCTGGGACTACAGGCGCCCGCCACCTCGCCCGGCTAGTTTTTTGTGTTTTTTTAGTAGAGACGGGGTTTCACCGTGTTAGCCAGGATGGTCTCGATCTCCTGACCTCGTGATCCGCCCGTCTCGGCCTCCCAAAGTGCTGGGATTACAGGCTTGAGCCACCGCGCCCAGCCACAATTTTTTTTTTTAATTAAGTGGGTGTAGTGGCATGCCCCTGTAGTCCTAGCTACTTGGGAAGCTGAAGGGGGAGAATTGCTTGAGCCCAGGAGTTCAAAGTGGCAATGGGTTTTGATTGCACCACTGCCCTCTAACCTGGGCAACAGAGCAAGAGACTGTTTCTTACAAAAACAAAACAAAACAAATAACACTTAAGAAATAAATTGCTGAATGAATAAATGAATGGTATTAAATACATCATGGAATCTGATTGGCAGTGGTAAGCAATTGGTAAGTCAGTTGAAGCCAAAATACAGATAATAGCTAATTGTAACTGAATGCCTACTATATGCTAGGCACCAGACAAAGTCATTTCATGGAGGTATTTTTTTTTTAATTGATATAGGCTGGGTGCGGTGGCTCACGTCTGTAATCCCATCACTTTGGGAGGCCGGGGCGGGAGGATTGCTTGAGCCCAGGAGTTCAAGACCAGCTTGGGCAACACGGCAAATCCCTGTCTCTATAAAAAAAAAATACAAAAGTTAGCTGAGCATGGTGGCACGTGCCTGTAGTCCCAGCTACTCAGGAGGTTGAGGTTGGAGGATTGCTTAAGCCCGGGAGGTTGAGGCTGCAGTGAACCAAGGTTGCGTCATTGCGCTTCAGCCTGGGTGACAGTGAGACCCTGTCTCAAAAAAAAAAAAAAATTGATACATAACCCACATACCATAAAATTCACCTTTTTAAAGCATTCAATTCAGTGGTTTTTAAAGTATATTCACAGTTTGGGAAAAGAAACCTTGTACCCATTAGCAGTCACCCCTTATTCCCCCCTCTTCTCAGCACTTGGCAATCACTAATCTCCTTTCCACATGGATTCGCCTATTCTGGACGTTTCATGTGTACGGGAATCATACAACATGTGGCCTTCTGTTTCTGCCTTCTTAGCAAAATGTTGCAAGGTTCCCCGTGCAGTAGCATGTATCACTACCCTACTCCTTTCCATGACTAATATTCTGTTGTATGGATATACCACACTCTGTTTATCCATTCACCAGCTCATGGACATCTGGATGGTTTCCACTTTTGTTCTATTATTAATCATACTGCTGTGAACATTATGCACAAGATTTTGTGTGGGAGTATATTTTTGTTTATCCTGGCCATGTACTTAAGGAGTGGAATTGCTGGGTCATATGGTAACTCTATGCTTAACTTTTCAAGGAACTGCCAGACTGTTTTTTCAAGGGGAAGCATCATTTTACATTCTCGTCAGCAATCTATGGGGCCTCTAGTTTCTCCACATCCTTGTCCATACTTGTTACTTTTTGATGATAGCCATCCTAGTGAGCATGAAGCCATATCGCATTAGTTTCCATTTCCTTAATGATGTTGAGCATCTCTCCATGTACTCATTGGCCATTTGAATAACTTTTTTGGAGAGATGTCTATGCAGATTCCTGGCCCGTTTTTGAATTGTGTGTTTTTTAATTCCGTTGTAAGAGCTCTTTATATACTCTGGATACTAGATTTTCTCTTTCTTAATCCTCACAGTCACCCTGCTGAAACAGGTAGCTTTTTGTCTCTTTTACAGATGGAGACTAGAGCCTGGAGAATTTTAGTAAGAGGTGTCATTGAGTCTAGATCTGTGATTCTCCAAAGCCTGTGCCCTTTCCACTATTTTATGCTGCTTCTTGGTGATAGAGTTTTAACTGACCGTGAGGTTTAAAGAGGGCCACACCAGTGGGTGGTTAATATAAAGATGAATGTTATGGAATTGAGACCAGGATGTTAGAAACACGATCAACCGATTGCTGAAGTCAATGGCAGTAGGTCTCAGAGTCATTTGTAAGTAAGTTGGATTATATGATATTTAAAGTTGCTTCTTACTCCAAAATTCTCTAATTTAATACGCCTTTTTGTTTTGCCAGCAACAACAAAAGTAATGGTCAGGAAAAGCCAATTCCCTAAGTATCAGGACAGAAGGAAGAATCATCCACTCCCGTAAATCTCTCTAAGGCCTCGGAGCAGGGCACTCTAAGAATTTTTGTCCCAATTTATCAATGGAAAAAACTGATCTGCTATCACAGACTTTTTCAAGAGAAGTAATAGCTTCGGCCCGCAGTACAATCACCACCTCCCTTTACACCTCGTTAACGACTGTAAACATGAAAACCTGGCTTCTCTCCTTTGTCCTGGGTAAATCAGAAAGATGCTATCTTAAGCAAAGACCAACTTACTACCAAGAGGCTTCCTGGGTATGGAAACAATTATTTTGTCCTAAATGCAATTTGCCTAAAAACGGATAAAGTTTTAGTGTCATCCCCTTTGTGCTGCTTTGTTATCTCCAACACTAGATGATTTCAAAGGAGTCATTTAAAAAAACTTGTGGGCTGGGCATGGTGGCTCACACCTGTTATCCCAGCACTTTGGGAGGCTGAGGTGGGTGGATCACCTGAGGTCAGGAGTTCAAGACCAGCCTGGCCAACATGGTGAAACCCCGTATCTATTAAACAAACAAACAAAAATACAAAAATTAGCAGAGCATGCTGCTGAGTGTCTGTAATTCCAGCTACTTGGAAGGCTGAGGCAGGAGAATCACTTTAATCCGGGAGGCGGAGGCTGCAGTGGGCCGAGATCACGCCAGTGCACTCCAGCCTGGGTGACAAGAGTGAAACTCTGTCTCAAAAAACCCCAGAAAACTTGTACACTTGCACAAAACTGCAGAGGCCATGGAACAAAAAAGTAAACTGAGTTTTGTGAGTCATTAACGAAGCATAGACATAGTATTGAGAAGAAGTTACAGAAAACTCAGAGAATCTTTTGAATGAAATATTTTATTGAAAATAGTTAATTTAAAAATCTATACATCATTTTTCAAAAGCCGTGTTACTGATAAAAATATCAAACTTTCCAAACAAGGATCACTTCTGTTTCATTCACCCTTGCCAAAGTGTCTCCTTAATTTTTCCAGATGGACGTTTTGTGAGTCTCTAGTGCCCTCTGGTGAAACACCATGAAACTGCCCAGAAACGTAATTCAGGCTCTGCTCACAACGGAAGGCGAACTAGCTGAATGAGCGCCTGTTCCAATGGGACAGGTTGTGATGCGCTGCCTTCTCCCCCAGCTCCGGAAAACGGCAGCCTCTGTGCGTGCGTCTCTCTCTTCAGGGAAAGTATTCTTCCCACGGACACTCCGCCAAGCTCACTGCAAAATACCTTCTTCCTAAGTTTTTATCTTCACTGTCTTCTAAAAAACAAAAACCTGTTGATACAGACGGGATAAATAATGAAAGCCTCCAGGTCATTCAGGACCAGGCCCCTACTCCCCACAAATGTTAAAAGGACAGCAAAAATGATAAAGCAAGCTGAGCCTGCAAGAAAAGCTTTCCTAGTGGTCCCTGGTTCTTCACCCTGTCTTCATAATAATCAACACCATCACTCTAGTCAACTCAGGTTTCCATTTTCTGGCAGCAGATGACCTTGTCCTCAGGTTTCAAGGAGCACACCTCTTCTAAATGGGGGCCATTTCCAAAAGTAGACATCAACAGAGTCTCAGTTCATTCTCCAGACCAAACACTTTCGACTTAAGATTCTTCAGTTCTCCTTGTATCTTATGTGCCCGTCTATTGCTGTCACGGACCTCACACAGAATGGCAAGATCCTGGTTTGCCCGGACATTAATTGTTGCCTAGGGATTTGAAAACAAACAAAAAAAAAGAGAAAGAAATGATTATGGCATATGCCAGGGGAGAGATGTCGGTCAAAAAGACACAGCTCTGTTAGCTCCTTTTTATGAGATTTTGAGTACACAGGATAAATGCCATCCTTAGTTTGTTCAGTGGCTATAACTAAAGGAGGAAAATGTAGAATTAAAGCAGAAATCCCATGAACATCCTTCCCGTCCAATAAAGGAGCCTTGAGCTAGAGACCAATGAACAATGGAAGAGGAGTAAGACAGGCCAGGATAAGCAACACTGCTGGTAAATTTGTCACAGAATGAAAGCAGGCCTCTCCTCTTTTCTGTAACTAAGCTTGTTTGGAGCTCAGGCTAACTGGCTAAATCTCATGAAGAAGGCTCTTGAGGCAACTTGTATTCTAAAGAACTGTGTCTGCCGGAAAAAATCACTCTATCAATCAATTACCCACTTTCCCTAACTGCAAAATAGACATGATTGTTTAATCTGCTTCTTGAATTAGGAGGGATGACAATTTCCGTTACGTTTAGCTCCCATCGAAGTATTAATGATGCAATCATTCAGTGATTTCAGGGTATTTTTATTTTCCGTCTAGCATGTGCTTGAACTGATTTTCAGGGAGGCTTCCAGACGGTGATCTGTTAGTGTCTGTCAGCACGGAAACAGCACATCCTTCTTCTGAGGAGCCTCGTGGCCACGTTCCCTCACTTACGCCTCTTTTCTCCCTTGTGGCAACCCAGGCCCAGCAATTACCTTATACAACATTTGCTCCAAGTCCTTCAGTTTCTGTCGGAGAACCTTAATATCTGTCTTAAAGCCTTCTACTTCCAAGATCCGTCGACGCTCCAGTGCCTCATAGCGTCTTGTCATTACCTGTAAACGCTTCCCCATCTTGTTAGTGCGATCCTAAACACGGGGACGGGGAGGCATTTATGAAGCTGAGGGAAGCGTTTTCCCCAGCCGTCTGCGCTTCCTACTCCGTTATAAATGGAAGATAATTTTGTACCTTGAAGATCTCTCTCCTCATTCCCTCTTCCTCACGAATTCGGGCAAGTTCCTCTTCTAAGGAAATGCACTGCTCTTGGTACATACCGGACAGCTTTTTCTCTTGGACTAACTTATCTTTTAGGGACTGCAAGTCAAAGGGACAAAAAGTGTGAACACTCAGTTCTACAGTTTAGGTAATTCAAGTAGCACTTAGGCAAAGAAAGAAAGAAAGAAAGAAAGAAAGAAAGAAAAGAAGGGATTTCCAGAGGTACAAAGTGAGTTAAGGAACCAGACGACAAGGAACTTTGAGGAACATCTGAAAATCTCCTACTTCTAGACCAGTCTCGTAAACCCCGTTTCTAAAGTGTACAGAGTAGAAGTTCAAACAAATATTTTTGGCTCTGGGAAGAGTCAGATAATGGACCTCAGAAGCTGTCCCAAGTAAGACATTACAATATATGTTTCTAAAAAGGAAGAATTGTTAACAACAACACTTACTATACATGCTGTATTGAGCAGTTAAAATGATCCTTTAAAAACCCAAATCAGATCATGTTACTTCTTTCACACAGTCCTTCAAAGGCCTAACACTGTTGAGGGCTAAGTTCACACTCTGTACCGTGATGCACACGGCCCTCCACAACTGGCTGCTGCCAACCCTGGCTTCTTAAAGGGCATCCACTTCCTCCTTATTCACTCCTCTACACCCACGACGACAGCCGTCCATTTCCTTGAACATACTCCAGGGCGTATAAACTTGCTTTTCCCTCTGCCAGGGATGTTCTTCCTCAAGGTCTGTATGGCAAGCTTAGTCCCATTTTTCAGGTCTCAGCAAAAACACCAGATATGAGACAGTGTCCCTGTGCGTTCCTTCTGTTAATACAACACACTTCCAGCAACTACATATAATCTTCATGTAATTCTTTTACTCCCTTAACACCACATTTTTATAATCTATAATTTTCTTTCTTTCTTTTTTTTTTTTTTGAGACGGAGTCTTGCTCTGTTACTGGGCTGCAGTGCAGTGGTGCGATCTCAGCTCACTGCAACCTCTGCCTCCCAGGTTCAAGCGATTCTCCTGCCTCAGTCTCTACCCAAGTAGCTGGGATTACAGGCGCCCACCACCACGCCTGGCTAATTTTTTGTATTTTTAGTACAGACAGGGTTCCACTGTGTTGGCCAGGCTGGTCTCGAACTCCTGACCTTGTGATCGGCCCACCTCGACCTCCTAAAGCCTTTTTTTTTTTTTTTTGAGACGGAGTCTCACTTTGTCACCCAGGCTGGAGTGCAGTGGCATGATCTTGGCTCACTGCAACCTCTGCCTCCTGGGTTCAAGTGATTCTCCTGCCTCAGCCTCCCGAGTAGCTGGGATTACAGATGCGCACCACCACGCCCGGCTAATTTTTGTATTTTTAGTAGAGACGGGGTTTCACCATGTTGGTCAGGCTGGTCTCGAACTCCTGACCTCAGGTGATCCACCCGCCTTGGCCTCCCAAAGTACCAGGATTACAGGTGTGAGCTATCACGCCCGCCCTAATCTATAATTTTCTTAGTTATTTGTTAATGTTTCTGTTTTTTCTCACCATTAAAACGTAAATACCATGAGGACAGACCTTGTTTAGATTACTGTAACTCTAGGGCCTAACCCATAGCAGGAGTGCAGTAAATATTTGTGTTTTCTGTTTTTTGTTTGTTTTTTGTTTTTTGTGAGACGGACTCTCGCACTGTCACCAGGGCTGGAGCACAGTGGTGTGGTCTCAGCTCCCTGCAACCTCCGCCTCCCGGGTTCAAGCAGTTCTCCTGCCTCAGCCTCCCAAGTAGCTGGGATTATAGGCGCCCACCATCACGCCCAGCTAAATTTTTTTTGTATTTTTAGCAGAGACGGGGTTTCACCATCGTTGGCCAGTCTGGTCTTGAACTCCTGACCTCGTGATCTGCCCGCCTTGGCCTCCCAAAGTGCTGGGATTCCAGGCGTGAGCCGCTGTACCCGGTCAGCAGTGCAGTAAGTATTTGCTGAATGAATGAATAAATGAATGAATGAATGAGTGAATGAATGAACAAGGCTAATATTTTAGATCCCTAAGCGCTATAATGATCAGCTGTTCTTCGAAACCTAGTTCTTGAGGCATCTGCTACCAGAGCTTTCCGCACTGAATGGACCTTACGTTACAAACTGTAGGTTCTTTGGAATTCCTTCAACTCTCCCAGAAAAATAAATAACTTATTTAAGACATAAGGACATTACCTTAATATATTCACTTTGAGCATGATGACTGTCATGCATAACGGGCAACACTTTTCCAATTTTATCTTCTTTCTTCTTACACTGCACCCGGTATTGCTTAATCTTTGACATCAGATTATCTTTTTCAAGCATCCATGACTTCTCTTTACTTTGGTTTTCAGATCTGAGTTGCAGAAAATCTTTGGTGCTTTCATAGAGCAGATCTTGGGTGTGGTGAAGACTAGGAACGAAAGTACAGATGCAGACATGAGGATGCACACACAGCACACCTGAAAGCAAGGATCATTCCAAAATGGAAGAGAATGGCTCTTTTTAAAATTGTGTAATATATAAATTTTGTAAAATATTAGCGGTTGTAAAAATCGGCTCACTGGCAATCTTACAGGTTTTACTGGGCAAAGTATAATGTATCTACCCATGCTCACTGGTTCACAGACTGGTCTTTACAGGTATTTCCCTGAGTGCTCATGATTAGAAGGACTACAGGGATATTTACACATAGCCTGCATAAGTATGGACCATTCCTAGGAATCAGACAAGGAAGAACTAAATCATGGTGTTCTGACAAGTTAATACAAATTCTATAGTATCAAAACCAGCTTTGCTTTTGTGTATGCTGTGCTCCATGTAGAACGGCCTGTATCAAAATCTTATCCTTTGTTTATTTTAATTTATTTATTTATTTTTTTTTTGAGACGGAGTCTCACTCTGTGGCCCAGGCTGGAGTGCAGTGGCCAGATCTCAGCTCACTGCAAGCTCCGCCTCCCGGGTTCATGCCATTCTCCTGCCTCCGCCTCCTGAGTAGCTGGGACTACAGGCGCCCGCCACCTCGCCCGGCTAGTTTTTTGTATTTTTTAGTAGAGACGGGGTTTCACTGGGTTAGCCAGGATGGTCTCGATCTCCTGACCTCGTGATCCTCCTGTCTCGGCCTCCCAAAGTGCTGGGATTACAGGCTTGAGCCACCGCGCCCGGCCTGTTTATTTTAAAAAGAACTTTTTGTTTTTGACAGGGTCTTGCTCTGTCACCTAGGTTGGAGTGCAGAGGCACAACCATGGCTCACAGCAGCCCTGACCTCCTGGGCTCAAGCAATCCTTCTGTCCCAGCCTCCTAAGCAGCTGGGACCACCTCCCAGGGCGTTTGCCAGCTCATTAAAAATTTGTGTGTGTGTGTGGAGACGGGGTCTTGCTATGTTCCCTAGGCTAGTCTGGTCTGGAACTCCTGGGCTCATACAATCCTCTCGCCCCAGCCTCCCAAAATACTGGGATTACAAGTGGGAACCACTGCACCTGGCCTCCTTTTTAAAAAATCAACTTCCTGTACGAAGTCATTTTCAACAACTTTAGCCTATTTTAATTCCTCCATTCTCTGAAATTCCATCCCAGTGTTAATGTTCGCTTGTCTTATAATTCAATACTTGCTCCTCTGTCACATTTTAACTGTCAACACGCACTTTTTCCCACCCTGAGAGAAAGTATATACCTTATTTACTGCTTATTTTTGCCCCAATGCCATGAGATTGTCAAGGATAATACTAACTACTGGACATACACAGGCAGTTAACAGATTCTTGACGACCTTTCCTGAAATTTAGAAATAGACAATGTTTCTATCTTTAAAAAACAATATCCTTGGAAGTTAGCAACTCATCAGTTTAACATTATCCCCTAGAAAAATGCTATACTGAATGATCTAACTGCTTGCAAGAGTATTAAATACCATGAAGCAATCACTACGGTTCTCTACTGAACAAATAATGTCAGATCCACTTATTTTCATGAGTAAAAGGGCACACAGATACGAGGAAAATGGTAGCATAGTGCCAAGCACACAGTAAGTGTCACAAGATGAAGTCTACAGGCAGGGATGTGTGCACGTATATAAAGACAAGACAGAGAGACCTCACTCAGTTACCACACGGATCTCTCTCACTTTCAGTGAGTTATTTTAATCTGTCTTACGTTACGTTCTCAATCTCAAACGGGGAAAGTATGGGCTTGTGAAAATACAAGTAACTTGAAAGTGACACCCGAAGGGCAGTCATTAATGGCCTTGGATTTCTTCTTAGGAAGATCTGTCTAATGGAAGGAACTGATCACGTGCTCAGATATGAAGATAATGCTAAACAAGGAAGGTTATTGATATTCTGGAAAACAGATATAAAATTACAAATTACTGTGACAATTTAAAAATATCTGTCCCTTAAAAACAAAACCCAATGAAAAGTCAAGATGCTATATACTTAAGTGCAAAAACAGTAAAAATAAAAACGAAGATAGAGAAATACTGGCCCAATGCAAACACATTATACTATGTTAAAAGAGACAAAGCAGGCCGGGCGTGGTGGCTCACGCCTATAATCCCAACACTTTGGGAGGCTGAGGTGGGCGGATCACCTGAGGTCAGGAGATGGAGACCAGCCTGGCTAACATGGTGAAACCCTGTCTCTACTAAGAAGGAAGTGTCAGAAGGTGCTGCCGCGTAACAAATGTCCGATAAACAACAGCTGTTATAATTAGTCTGGCTGACGCACAAGGCGAACTACAGCAACAGGGGAGGAGCTGAGGCTGAAGGTTTATTTGGTGTCAGATGATGACGTTCCTAAAAATTCATGCTAAGATATGAGGACTTCATCATAAGGTAAATGGAGACTATCAAATATTTTTAAGCAGTTGATAATTACTAATAGAGGAACTAATTCATAGTAGTGAGAAAGATATAAGAACACAAAAGGCTGGGTGTGGTGGCTCACGCCTATAATCCCAGCACTTTGGGAGGCCAAGGCGGGTGGATCACGAGGTCAGGAGATCGAGGACCATCCTGGCTAACATGGTAAAACCTCGTCTCTACTAAAAATACAAAAAATAATAATAATAATAAATTAGCTGGGCGTGGTGGCGGGCACCTGTGGTCCCAGCTACTCGGGAGGCTGAGGCAGGAGAATGGCGTGAACCCAGGAGGCAGAGCTTGCAGTGAGCGGAGACTGTGCCACTCCACTCCAGCCTGGGCGACAGAGTGACACTCTGTCTCAAAAAAAAAAAAAAAAAAGAACACAAAGGATCAGCAATAGGAACAATTTAAACAAAGGAACAGAGTTTGAATTAATGTACTAAGAATGAGAGTTCAGGGCTGGGCACAGTGGCTCATGTCTGTAATCTCAGTGCTTCAGGAGGCTGAAGTGAGAGGATTGCTTGAAGCCAGGAGTTCGAGACTAGCCTGGGCAACACAGCGAGACCCCATCTCTACAAAAAATAATAAAAATAAGCCAGGTTTGGTGGTATGCACCTGTAATCCTAGCTACTTGGAAGGCTGAGGCAGGAGGATTGCTCAAGTCCAGGAGCTCAAGGCCACTGCACTCCAGTCTGGGCAAAAGAGTAAGACCCTGTCTTTACTGGAAAAAACAAAACAAAACAATCAGAGAGGAGATACTTTCCTGAGTGCTAACTTCAGGTTATATGATTAGAAGGACTACAGGGATATTCACACATAGCCTGCGTAAGTATGGACCATTCCTAGGAATAAGACACGGAAGTACTAAATCATGGAGATCTGACAAGTTAACACAAGTTCTACAGCATCAAAAACAGCTTTGCTTTTGTGTATGCTGTGATCCATGTAGAACTGCCTGTATCAGAGAGCAGAGAAAGGACTTGAGAGGGTTTTTAGGCTCACAATCCATAGGGTTTGGAATTAAGGAATAAGAAAGTTAAGAGCTGAAGATGATCCTGTGGTTTCAAGCCTGGGAAACGGAATACATGTGATGTCATGAAACTAAATGAAAAGAAGAAAGAAGTAGTAGGTTTGAGATGGGGATGGGAGTATTTATCGGGAGAAACAAACAGTGTGGTTTCAGTAGTGGTAAATCAAACACATTCAACTGAGAATGTCCTTATGGCATTAGGTCTGGCCACTGGAACTAGGCAAAAGGGTGAAGGGGTTAGACGGGTAGAAGAACCAAGAAAGACAGGTGCTGCAGAAATCAAGGGAAATGAATTACAAGGAGGGGCTGATCTGTGATGCCAAACATGCAAGAAGATACTACGTATAATAAGGACTGAACAGAGATATAACTGGTCTCAGAAGTTAAGAGGTCGGCCAGGGCTGGGCGCAGTGGCTCACGCCTGTAATCCCAGCACTTTGGGAGGCTGAGGCAGGTGGGCCACCAGAGGTCAGGAGTTCGAGACCAGCCTGGCTAACACGGTGAAACCCCGTCTCTACTAAATTTACAAAATTAGCTGGGTGTGGTGGCGGCGCCTGTGATCCCAGCTACTTGGAAGGCCGAGGCAGGAGAATCGTTGGAACCTGAGATGCAGAAGTTGCAGGGAGCCGGGATCAGCCTCTGCACTCCAGCCTGGCGACAGAGTGAGACTTAGTCTCTAAAACAAAATAAAAAAGTTAAGAGGTCAGTGGTGACCCCAGAAAGGGCGTGTTTGATAAAATGGGGGTGAACCCCAGAAAGGGCGTGTTTGATAAAATGGGGGTGAACCCCAGAAAGGGCGTGTTTGATAAAATGGGGGGGTGAAGCCAGACTGCAGAGAGGTAAAGAAAGGTAAGCAGGTTAGGAACAAAAACAATGAGGACAGAGTTGGCCATTTTTTGTTTTTATTTTTTCAGATTTTAAAAGTAACTTTTATTTTTTAAAAGTACGTGCATTATAGGAAACTAAAACACACAAGAAGCAAAGAACAAAGTCATCCACAATCAGAATCGCTTTGCAGTTTATAAACTGTAAGGTTTACAGGACGCTCGAGTTCCCGCGTGTGTGCAGACACAACACCCACGTTTATGGGATTGAGATCGTACGGTATGCATCGTGCTGTTTCACACATCAGAGATATTTACAGTTCAAAACCCCAAAGCTACATGAGTATTCTGATAACCGAGAACACACTATGCCAACTCAATCTGTTAGAGAAAAATACAATCCTGCCTTTCTTGGGACAGAAGTTTCATAGAAGCCAAAAAGGACAACACGTCGCTAGATAAAAGCACTGGCAGAGTTCCGATTAAAACACTGAGTGTGCAGTTTTTTGGTGTAGATATGTAAACTCATGTTTTCCATATTCACGAAGGGGCAAACAAAAGCAAAGGGCCCCACGACACTGAGTCAGACAGTATATATCAGTGGAGAAAAGAACACTTTTTTTTTTTGGAGACAGGGTCTCACTCTGTCGCCCAGGCATGAGCGATTACAGGCGTGAGCCTGGCCTAAGAACGCTTCTTAACCACCAGAAGCTAAAACACCACAGTAGATTAACAGGAGCACATGAAATACTCATCAGCTCTGCAACGGCATGCCTGGAACAGCGAGATACTCACCTACGTAGAACCAGGGGTTTCTGAGGAAGACAATTTTTTCAAGGTTCCCTTTAGTTCTATGACCTGCTGTTGTTCAAGTACAAAACGCTAACTTTTAAGTCACTCAGAAAAATAAAATACCTGTTAGGTTCAGCTTTCTTAGACACTCACTTTTTGGTTAGCTCTTTGATTTTGTTCTGATTTCTCTGGTGCTGAACTTGTATTTCCTCAAGGTGAATCCGTCTATCCTCCATGAGCCCTTCAATTTGTTCTCGAGCAAGTTTGGTCTGCTCTCCCAGCTGAGCCTGCAGTGCTTCCACCTAGACAGGCCAAAAAGGGGTGAGGAATCCAACCCTACTTCCACTTACTTCATACCTCTAGGAAAACTGAGCCTTTCTCCAGAAAAATTAAAAAACAAACCAAAAAATCTCACTCCTAATCCTCTTGTTCATTTCAAGACAAGGTCTTGCTCTGTCCCCCAGGCTGGAGTGCAAGGGGCGTGATCATAGCTCACTGCGGCCTCAACCCCATGGGCTCAGGCAGTCCTCCCTGCCTCAGCCTCCAGGACTACAGGTGTGTCCCACCACACCCAGCTAATTTTATTTTTATTTTTTGTAGAGATGGGGTCTCACTATGTTGTCCAGGCTGGTCTGGAACTTTTGGGTTGTAGAGATAGGATCTCACTATGTTGTCCAGGCTGGTCTCGGACTTTTGGGTTGTAGAGATGGGATCTCACTATGTTGTCCAGGCTGGTCTCGGACTTTTGGG